ATTTCACAATGAACATTACTGATCCAGGAAAAAACAAATATTTTCTCTTGTTCAAAATGACTACAACTGCATTCATCTTTCCACACTTCTTTCTCTAATCAAGTATCAGATGTCAGCAAACTGACCTACTTAAAAGGTTATGGACACGTGGTCAAAAGCAAACATACCCATGTAGTTGGAGAGGCTGGATTTCTACACCAGACGGAACCCCGGGTGGTAAGGGGCTGCGCCCTCCCACACAGTGGCTGGGTAACTTAAGGCCTTTTAGGTTTCTTGCCTTTGTGCACCCTGAAAAGCCGGCACGGGGAGGTAAATCTATAATTAGGGGTTTATTTAAAATAGAGATTTGCGACCTGACAGACTGCAATCTGTCTGTATCCATAAACAATGGAAACTCCTTCCAGTCCTTTGTCTGGGGGTGTGTATGGTCTATTGAGGGTTGCAGAGCTGCCTGGGCTCGTGTTACATGGGATGTTGTCTGATTGGAGGGGTGTGTGGGGCTGAGCGTGCACATCTACTGGGACATTAACTTTGCTTTGAAATAGCATCTGAAAAGGATACATCTTACTAGTGTTGTTCTTTGTTGTAAAACCCATCATCTTCAGTTCAAGTTTGACTTCAGCTCACATGTTTATGTAAGTGCTGGGTTCTCAGAACCTCAGGGCCAAGTTTCAAACTTAATATTGGAAGGAAATGGAATTCTTTGTGCAAGGTGAGTAAAAGCTACAGGACAACACAACAAACCTTAAAGTTCATACCATTTTGAAGAATTCAAAGCTCTTGAACAGCAGGCTGATATTTTAAAATGTTTTCCAGATTTCAAATTCCATCTCAGTCATTCTAGTTGATAGCCAGTATTTGCTGAGTACTGTTGTATTGACAGCCTTTCTCTCAAATGCTGTCAGTGTATGTCAGGTATGTGCTTATGAAATGTCCTGCTACCTGTGGCTGTGGCCTGGGCCCCCCATCATTCCCCGCACGCTGAATTTCCATTCTTATTGATTCTGTATCTTTCATTCAAAATGAACATATTTACCAGCCTATGATTAACATAGTTTTAATTAACTTAAAACCTTTATGGGGTACCTAAAATTGCAGGACAAATGTGTATTCCCATTTATAGGACCCTATGAAGGGATTATATATTTAACTATATATATATATATATATATATATATATATCTTGATTGACAGGACAAATCTTTCAAAATTTAAAAATGTTTTATTGTAACATGTTACACATACAAAAAAAACACAACCCATGGAAAGTAAAAATATAAAAGACCCCTCACATTTAACACATTTAATACTTTGCCAAATTGCTTCACACCATTTATTTTTAAAGAAAACATTAAGAACAGATTTGCAGACATTACCCTCCCGTTTCCTCCACCTCCCCTCCTCGGAATTTACCTCCACCCTACGGGGCTCGTCCATGTTTTTGTAAGATCACAACTTATGTATGTATTGTATTTTTAAACTTTGCCTAAGGGGTATACCTTACAGACGTATTTTCAATTTGCTTTTTCATTTAACATTGTCGAGAGTAATCTACACCTTCGTCCCACCCCGCTGCCCCCTGCCCCGGCTGCTTAAGGGTCGGCTGGCTTCATGAATGACAGGGTAACTGTCTGAACGAGGAAGTTCATGACCAACACATGACCTCAGCAGAAACAAACAGTGATCTACAGCCTTCATCTTGGGAAGGCAACAGTACCTAAGACAGAAATTTGGAAAAAACTAGCCAAAACGTACAAGACATCATCTTTGTATTTGGAATCAGAACCCATTTTGATGGTGGCATTTTGACAACTGGCTTTGGCATGATTCCTTGGGTTATGCAAAGAAAAATGAACCCAAACATAAACTTGCATGGCACGTCCTGTCTGAGATGAAGACCTCAAGAAAACAATGAAAGGAACACAGGCAAGAAATGGAAAAAGTCGGGGGGACTGCAAAGGCCAGGGGTGGTGCTGGTGAAAGAAGTAAAGGCTCTTCAGTGAGTTTATCTGTGGTGAACTGTGTGGGATTTTCATGAGAGGATTAATAAACTAAGAACTTCCAAAAAAGATATTTATCTACACTGATGCAAGTAAGCCATGCCATTCATTTGAACTACTGTTCAAATTCCATTGCACGAATATACCACCGGTCATGAACCCGTTTCCCTTCTGAGGGCATTTAGATTGTCTGCAATATTTTCCTGATACACAATGTAGTGTGAATGAACCATCCATCCCTTAGGTTCGATTAGCCCTATCTTCAAAATAATATATCCTAAATCTGACCACTTTTCCTTATCCCTCTCGGACCCCAGGCCAAGCCATCATTTTCTCCCCCAGGGGCTCCTAAGCGTCTCCAGCTTCCACGTTTGCTCCCCTTCACTTTACAGTTCACACTGCTCATGGGGGCAGATCAGGTCTTCCCTTCATCAGAATCTTTCCCATCTGACCTGGGATAAGATCTAAAAGTCCTCCCATTGCCATGAAGACCCCACATCATCTGTCCCCTCTCCATCCCTTTCCCTAGCTCTCTCTGGTCCAGCATACAGGGCTTCTCCTGGTCACTACCGCAGGGGCTATGAACCAGCTGTTCACGCTGAAGCCAGCATGTTCTTCGTCTTTTTCTCCTACATTGTTCAGGTTTCTGACCCAGACATTCCTCAGAAAAGTCTTTCCTGTTTTTCTAAATTGGTACTTCCTTCATTTACTGTGCCCTTAGGCAGCTTTTATGTTTCTATTCAGAAGGTTTCACACCTGAATTTATCTTATTTGTTTATTTCTGCTTCTCTACTAGCATGTAAAACTGCCTGGCTTTTGAGTCCTGGTACTCAGAACTGTACCTCGAATAACTGCCACTCGGCAACCCTTGACTGAATGAGAGAACGTCAGTACGAGACTCATGCACATTCTCCAGGACAATACATTGAAAACTCTGTTGATGGTGAAGCACAACCTGAAATACAGTTTTTATACCGTATGCACACGAACATGCAAGTGACGCAAATGTTTCAGGAAACAATACTCACACTACTCATTTTTAATTTTATTTGAAAAAGGAAGATAAAAGAAAAAATATGCTAGATGCAACTACTAAGTAGAGCCTGCAGTATGAAAACCTTTGTTTTAGCCCTGGCTGGTGTGGCTCAGTGGATTGAGCACAGACAGGCCTGTGAACCAAAAGGTCCCCGTTCCATTCCCTGTCAGGGCACATGCCTAGGTTGTGGGCCAGGTCCCCAGTTAGGGACGGGTGAGAGGCAACCAACTGATGTTTCCTTCACACCTCAATGTTTCTCTACCTCTCTTTCTCCCCTCCCCTCTCTCTGAAAATAAGTAAATAAAATATTTTTTAAAAACTCTGGAAGTGTTTTTTGGGGTTTTACTAATCACTCTTGAATTGCACTTTACTAACATCATTATCAGAATTTCTTCTTATCCTTAGCCAACACCTGGCTTTTAAATTTTTGCCAGTCTGAGTGAAACTGTCTCCTAGTTTTAATTCACATTTGCCTGATTACTAAAAAGACTGTCAGATCTGGTCCTTTAAAAAGTACGTAAACTAAATTATTTTCTAGTGCGTCTGAAGGGCTAAGAGTTTTCCTGTCAGAATCTTTCATAAACAAAGTAACTTAATCTTCTCCCATTTTACACAATTCACAATTTCAAATTTTCATATATTTAATTACAGTGGCACAAGGTTGTACCCCCAAGGACATAGCACTAACAATTTTAGTTCATTCACCATTTAGATAGTTGCTTATTTGCTCAATAAATATTGAGGTCTCCTCCTACTGTCAGGAATTTCACCAGACAGACCAACAGCCTCTCCTGGCACCTACTTTAGAGACCATGAGTTCTTTGTCCCTTGCACGGTGGCACCAGGATCCTGGGCAGGTGTTTTTAGAAAGGGTGGACGCAAGCTCTTTCCAATTCTTCCAATCCATTGTTCTCGTGTATTATTACTTGTTCACAAGTTTTTGTATTAATTGCATCGGAAAAGGAACACTATGTGTTCACGCGTGCTCTTTTATTGCAAAGGAATTATTCCAGAGAAAAGTTTTGAAGGGAGAAAATGGAGTGCATTCATTTCAAGCACCTGTTTTAAATGTAAGGTTAAAATTGGAGTCTTTTAAAACAATCCAGTTTATTTTACTTTTCCTTTTAAAAACTTTTTCCCTGCCCTTTACAAACATTTGTTTCACACTTGATTTCGTTGTAATGTCAGATTTGAGTAAAAGAGCACTGAAAAATAGCTCACGTTCATTCTCAATTGAGTAATCCTAAATTCCGACGGGCGGGGGGGAAGATCTCCAAACCACACTAATACTGTCTGTAGCTTCTATCCACAACAGATTACCTCTAAAGAGGTAATTGTCCCATAGATATGTCTTAACAACAGCGCCAGGTTTCTAATTTAATCAACCTCAAGGCAGGTAAAACAACGCGGCTTCCTGTACTTTGTTGTAAGAAAGATCAGGATTGAACACATTTTGTTGCTTTAGATAATGGCGTGGCTACCAGATAATAAGTGCTACACTCGCAGACAGTGGTTGAGGTAATAAAAGGTGGAGTTCATGCTTGACTTTTTTGAAATTTATCTTTAATAATGTAAGCTACAGGCCGCAATGAAAGTGCTACGTGCAGAGACCCACAAGACCCTCGCGGTGCTTTCCATTACCCTCTTTTTCACTTTTCTTCTCCCAGCCCCAGAATTCATGCAAATCAGCTTGCTAACCCCCGGGCTATACGAACCACTTTCGCGCCGTTCGTTCAGGACCGTGCAGTAACGTAAAAAAGAAGGAAGTACTGGCGCTCTAAAAACGCCACATTTCCTGACTGATTTTAGGGAATTACAAGGCAATCACTTGAGTTCAGAATATTTGGGGGTCGGTTTTATGTCAGAGGCTGAGCGGGTCGCGCGCCCGGGCAGACCGTTACCACAGCTTGCAGGACCTGCGCCACACCGCGGGAAAGCCGGTCTGAGCCCCGCCTTTCGGGGCCAGGGTCTGCTAGCTTAGCCCGGCCGGCTGCAGCTTGGTGGGACCGCAGCGCGCGCGCGGCTACTCTGGTCTCTCCTCCACAAGTTCGGGCCTGGGCCCCTGCTGCCAGCATGGATACTCGCCGCGTGCCGGTGAGGGCTTGGCGGGCAAACCCGAGGGGCGGGCATGGTGGGTGCTGGGCGCGGGTCGACTCCCTCCAACTACTAGGACTTGAGGGTTTATCAACTGGTGGCCGGCCTGGACGGCGTGCGTTTAGGCAAGCCCCGGATTTTGTGCACTTGGCATAATTCAGGGTCTGGGGGCGTGCGCAACCGATGCGCCGGCGGTTTGAAGATTTGAGGGGTTCACAGCATAGTAGGCAGCGCTGGGGAAACCAAGGCCATGTGTGCTCGAGGTGCACGCGCGCGGGACTGCAGCCCTGGTCGGCCGGCCTCCTCAGTGTGTTCGCGAGCTCCTCACTGTCGGCGGGCCCGATCCTGGCCTGTGGAACAGAGAGGGCCCCCTGGGAGTTTACCCTACAGCATCACCAACCCTTTACAACGTTTAGCTCAGGGAGGGTGGGAGGCTCCACCCGCGCTCACTGTGGGGACCTTGGCGAGCTCCCCATCCGCTTTTGCTTCAGCTTCAGCCATGCCGCTTCTAAGAGCTCAAGTTGATGAGTTTGAAGTTTAAAGGTCCTGCAAACACTTTGGTTGCGCACGTAGGCGGAGGTGTTTCTAGTCCCAGGCGGTGATTAAGTACAGTTGAAGGATTTGGCGGTTCGAACTGTTTTCAGCCATTCGCTTTTTGCCCATTCCCTTCCCCAGCCCCCAACCTTATTCTCAAAACTGCAGGATGCTGCCTGAATGGAACCTTACTTTTTTGCTCTTAACGGAAACCGGAACGTAGGGTCTGCCCCTTGAGAGGTTAGAAGGTGGGGGTTGGGTGAAAAGGAAGAGCTTGACATGCTTAAAATATCTAGGGTAAGGCTCACAAATGCGGGGGCTGGGGGCTGGGGAGAGCGTGTTGGGGGCATGATTTCAGAAATCGCTGGAACTAGGCTTTGGCTTTCTGGATGAAGAAGCCATGTGTGCCTGAGTTTGGAATCTGACGTGCCTATGTTCAAATTTAGGCCATCGTGTGACTTCAGTAATCCATTGCAGCTCCCTGAACCTCCGTTTTCCCATTTGTTAAATGGGAATCATGATACAACTTTGTTGCAAGGTTAGTCATAATGTGAAAGCATACTTAATGCCTGCCACAAAAAAAACACCTGTGAAGCGCTATTAGTTATTACCTGCCTGCCAAAAAAAATTTATCTCAACCATGACTTTTGCTTGTTTGTTCTATGACTTTTACTCCAAATATAACACTTGCCTGGTAACTTAACTCTTGGTATGTGCTGACATGTTAAAAGCCCAGCATATACGAGTATTTCCCTGACAGCTTCCAGTAGAATGCCTCCCTTGATCTGTCTTGGGCCTCTGCAGATAAATTGATGAGTAAGTGGTGATACTTCTTGCAGTAATGCAAAAACACTCCGCTTTAGAAGATTGCAGGTTTGAGTTCTTCCACCCCTGTGATCTTGGATAATCTATTTCATCTCCCTGGAGTCTTTAATTTCCTCATCTGGAAAATGGGGGGTTTCTGAGATCCTTTTTAATTATTTATTTATTTATTTAAAAAAGACTTTATGTATTATTTTCAGAGAGAGGAGAAGGGATGGAGGAAGAGAGAGACCTGGCCCCGTGCATGTGCCCCGACAGAGAATTGAACTGGTGACATTTCAGTTCACAGGCTGGTGCTTAATCCACTGGGCTATACCAGCCAGGGTCTGAGATCCCTTTTAGTAGTTAGTATAGCTCTACCTTTTATCAAATTTTCTTACCTTTCTGAAGAAAGGACAAAGGACATAAACTTTCTGAGATGACTGAAGAATGGAGTCTATTTAGGAGCATAGGGTGGTGGTTGGGTACTGCCACCATGGAAATAATTTTATTTGTAAGAGACTGCAATGAAATGCATAATGCTAGGTGTAGAAGGAAGGTCAAGAATGTTGTGTTCACCAAACCTTCATGTCTTGGTGTTATCTGATGGGACCCATAGCAGTGCTTGCCCTTCAAAGTTCTCATTGTGGAGAGTCACTTCTATTCCATGGCTATATTTAAGAAAATAGTAATATAGGAACTAATAAAACATGAAGAAATCTCACTACATTTTAAATGCCAGAAACGGCTATGTTTTTTACATGAGATAGATACCAGTTGCATTTTCTGATGAGCAGCGCCAGGCTGTAAAGTGTTTATGTATGAAAGAAGTATTTTCATATCTACAAGTAATTTGTGCCCTATGAAAGTACTTCTAAAATCTTAAGACTTATATAGCAAGGGGACTGTGTAAGAGCTGAAAGTTGGACCAGGCTAATGCAGTGCTGGAGTAGGATCAGGCATTGTACCTGGGTTTGGAGTGCTGTTTGACCTTTAACTTGGCTCCTTGTACATTTGTTCACTGGGTTGATAGATATGATTTGCAAGGACTTGTACTGAAATCACTACCGCCCCAACCTCAAATGAACAAGGCCTGTTTGAAAGCCTGCCATCTTGAAGTAGAGGTACTGTCCTGTTTTTGTAGTTTGGGAACTTAGCCTCATAGTACATAGCCTAAAGCTTACATTAAAAAAAACCTCATTAACTTGATTTTGGCTGAGGGAGAGAAATGATTCCACCATTTTGTACTTTAGACGTACAGTCTAATTTTTTGTTAAAGGCCAGATTTGAGGAGTTTGGCATTAAACTCCATGGGAGCTCAGTATAATGCTAAGAGCTTGGGGGCTCTTCAGGTGGGTACAGGGGTAGCTCTACAAATGTTTGAATAAGTTGATAAATATTACAGTTTTCCTTCAAAGGGATCCCTTTTTAGGATTGTACCTAGTTTTGAAAAATTTTTTGTCGCAGTTGCAAATTCCTCCTTTTCTATATAGGGCGTAAGAAGTGGACATATCTGCTGTTTGAACTTACTAAACTAAAAAATGGTGCCCTTAGTTAGATACTATAGTGAGCATCCACTTAACAGTATTGCCATTTCCATTTGCAGCAAAAGGGTCGCAGAGTAAAGAACTTCAAGAAATTCAGCTATGTGAAGTTGATTTCCATGGAAACCTTGTCATCCTCTGATGACAGTTGTGACAGCTTCGCTTCTGATAATTTTGCAAACACGGTAAGTGCTGCCTGAGAATAAACAGAATTGAGTCTGCGGTGCTCAAAATGCCCCAAATGCTTTGTGCGTGATTAAAACTGCTTGCTTTTTGCCTACATTTCTATACAGCCGTTATGAAAATACAGTATGCACTGTAATTTCATTTCACTTTTTGCTGTGGTTCTAGGTAGTAATTGTTGGAGGTAGATTAGCTACTTATTCTATCCTTTTGAAATGTCGCCTAACCTAACATGCTTGATGATTTGCCATAACAACTCAGAAATCATTTGTAAACCTCTGAACCATTTTTCTTTGTAACAAAAGCTATTCTCTTGTAGTGCACTTGTGAACGTGATTTGCTCTCTGCACGGTTTATGGAAAATTGGTTCTTGGAAAAGGGGGAAATGCACAACCACATTTATTTATTTATTTTACAGAAACCTAAATTCAGGTCAGATATCAGTGAAGAACTGGCAAATGTTTTTTATGAGGACTCTGATAATGAATCTTTCTGCGGCTTTTCAGAAAGTGAGGTGCAAGATGTATTAGACCATTGTGGATTTTTACAGAAACCAAGGCCAGATGTCACTAACGAACTGGCCAGTATTTTTCACGCCGACTCTGACGATGAATCATTTTGCGGTTTCTCAGAGAGTGAGATACAAGATGGAATGGTGAGTTTGAAAATTTCACCAATATCAAGGAGTAAAGTGCATTTTGAGGCATGACATCCTTGCTTTAAAAAAGCTTTTTTTTCTTGTAATTTTCATTTTAGTCATGCCCGAGATTTTGTGGATCTTTTTAAAATTAAAGAGTATTTATGTCTTAAAGCAATTTTTACTAAAGTAGTCCTACTTGTAAAGGCTGAACATTTTGTAGGCTCTGAAAATCTTGGAAACTGGTAAGATAAAATTGGCCATCCTCCAGGTTTCCATTACAGAAATTCAGCCTAATCAGAAGAAGCAACGTGTCTTCAAGATGAGTTATATTTGCATTTAAGTCCCAGTCCACTGCTTGGCATAGACCAGGCCTTTGGTAAATGTTCCCATGTGGACCTATGTGTTTGGGAAAACCCATGATAACGCATGTGCAGGGACTTGACTGCAGATAATGACAATTAGGGCCCTTCCCGCTTCCACTTTGGCACCTGGGTCTTGCTTTTCCTGTGCACACTGCTTTCTTTACCTTTGTAACCTCTCTTGCTCAGGCCGCTGCTGCTGCTGCTGCTGCTGCTGCTGCTGCTGCTGCTGCACCTCAGTCCCACACTCTCCCTGAACATACTGTTCCGTTCTGCAGATGTTTTCTGGTTAGCAATACTTTCTTGACAAAGGAAGCAGTGTGTTGATTTGCAGTCAGGTGCATGCTATTCAGGTCAATGTGGTCTGACTGCCTGGGACCACACTTGAGTGACACTGACATAAGTGAGAGTGCCTGGCCAGGGAATGTTTTTATCACTATCTAACTTCATGGTACTGTAATAATATTTCCTGTGATAAGTAATGTTGGTCTAAATCAGTGCATGGTGGAGCTATGCAAGGGCTGGCCTGAAAATCTGGATGTGACCCAAACATTGTGTACAGTCTGAATCACTTCTGGGCATTGTTTCAGTTCTTTGTGGAGGCTGATTGTTGCAATCAATACAATGCCAATCAATTAAAAGTCTTCAGAACTCATAAAAGTTTTTTTGTCATTTTGTAGTCTCAATCCATGCACACTGAAAGTATATGAAGAATAGTAAAAGCTTATGGGGATTTTAGAAATTTTTGAATTTAAAAATGGGTCTTGCCTCTCTGGGGCTTTATGGGGGATATTTTTTCTTGTTTCTTGTTTATTTTTTTCTCAACCATCACCACAATCCATTCTTGGGTATTTTCATTACCCCAAACTGAAACCAGTTGTTTTGCACCCTCTCCCAACACATTCAGTCCCTGGCAACCACCGGCGTGTTTCCTGTCATTGCAGATGTGTGCTCGTTCTGGACGCTCTGTGTGAGTGTGCCGTGCAGTGTGTGGTCCTTCTTGACTGGCTCGTTTTACTTGGGTTCTTCCGTTTTGTGGCATGTGCCAGTACTTCGTACCTTTTCATTGCTCAATAATATTCCTTTGTGTTAGCAGGTTACATTTTACTTACCCATTCAACAGCTGATGGGTGTTGGGGCTGTTTCTACCTTTTGGCCATTCTGGATAAGGCTGCTATGTACACTCATGTACAAGTTTTTGTTTGTGAATACACTTAAAAAATTTTTTTAAGATTTTGTTTATTTTTAGAGAAAGGGGAAGGGAGGGAGAAAGAGAAGGAGAGAAGTATCAGTGTGTGGTTGCCTCTCACATGGCCCACACTGGGGATCTGGCCCGCAACCCAGGCATGTGCCCTGACTGGGAATCAAACAAGCGACCCTTTGGTTCGCAGCCTGTGCTCAATCCACCGAGCCACACCAGCCAGGGCACATATACTTTTGCGTATATACCTAGGAGTGGAACTGCTAGGTCATAGAGTAACTGTTTAACCTTCTGAGGATCTGACAGACTTTTCCAAAGTGCCTGCACCATTTTACATTCCAACCAGCAATGTATGTGGATACGAAGTGGTATTTTGTGATTCATAGTTGCATTTCCCCAATGACTAATTTTAGTACATATTTAATGATGGAAATCTGTATTACTTTAAAATATTAACTTTAAAAAATTTTTAGTCTTCTAAAAAGTCTCTTAGAGAGGTATCTAGAGTAGTCAGATTCTGAGAGACAGAAAATAGAGTGGTGGTTGCCGGGGCTGCAGGGAGATGGAATGGGAGTTGTTTAATGGGTTTTCATTTTTCTCAGAGTTTCAGTCTGAGAAAGTGAAAACATTCTGGAGATGATGGTTGCACAATATGAATGTATTTGATGCCAGTGAACTGAACACTTAAAAGATGGTTAAAATGGTAAATTTTATATTATGTATATTTTCACCACAATTTTTTAAAAGAGTAGATTAAAGCCTTGAGGCTTCTTTTTTAAAAAGATTTTATTTATTTATTTTTAGAGAGGAAGAGAAACATCAATGTGTGGTTGCCTTTCACATGCCCCCGCACTGGGGACCTGGACCGCAACCCAGGCATGTGTCCTGACTGGGAATCAAACCAACGACCCTTTGGTTCGCAGGCTGGTGCTCAATCCACTGAGCCACACCAGGCAGGGCAAGGCATCTTTAATATAGTTTAATATTGCCATAAGCACTGAAACCATGTTTATGGAAGAATGTTCCTGTAGGAATTCTTTTAAAATACATAAAGACCTATTTTTAAATTAAAAAGAGAGTTGGAATTTTCACATTTTTAAAAAAATGGCCCAGAACCACTGGCCTACGGGCTGTGAAGAGGCTTTTAACAGTGTGTCCCAGATAGGCTACCTGAGTTAAATTACACTCAGATCATTGTATGTATTTGTAATTCCTGATTTTGTTACTCAGAGCTATCAATTAAGATGGACAATTAAAGCGGTCAATTAAACTGTATTTGATGCAAATGTCTTTTGTTCAAAGGATTTTGTAGTCATTGCTGATGTAGCCTGTTCCACAAACAAGTCCTTAACGACTCAATTGTTCTGATTAACTAGAGGTCACAGTCAGACCCTGCAGGCTGTAGGACCCGCAGTCAGTGCAGGCGGTCTGGACCTCTCCGGGTGGCCATGGCGTTTCCGACTCGAAGGACCAGGGGAACAGCCAGCAAAAGCGCAGCTGCCCCTGCACCTGCAGAGAAATCTGTGACTGATCCCAATTCTGATTCAGAAGATGAAAGTGGCATGAACTTTTTGGAGAAAAGGGCTTTAAATATAAAGCAAAACAAAGCAATGGTAGGTATCTGACTTGGAATGTGTTAGAATGCACTCTTCCCAGCTTTTCTCTAAACCACTTGTTGCTTCTCTGTGTCAAGAATTGTTTTCTGTGTAGCTATTAAGTCTTTACCAAGGTATCCTTTAAAATGTGTTTCTTTCCCTACACTGACTTTTTTTTCCTCATTTGTTATTTTAATCAAAGCATTTCTAATTATTTTGTAGTTTTCATGTAAGCACCAAATTTTTAATCATCTAAGTCAATTTTGGGGGAAAGAAACAACATCAAGAACTCCCCTCCAGAACAAAACAATGATGTTCATTCTTCCAAACAACCAAATTCAAAGTCTACGAAAATAAAAACAAAAACAGCGTACACAGGGGAGGAAAACAAGTAATGAAAATCACATTCTAGGGGTTCCATGCATTTAGCAGCCTTTTGCTATGCTATCTAATCATCCTTCAGTTGACTTTCAAAAAATAACACCCTAGGTCATCAAAATAAACATTTTCCATTTGCCTTTTTAAATTAAAATTAATAATTAAACAAGAAGACCTGGGAGGGATTCACAATCAATTGCCTGCCCTGTTTGGATGTCATGTACAGCACGTGATGGTCAGGAAGGCTATTTGTAAGCACACATGATTAGGGGAAGCTGATCTTCAAGGTGTAGCTTTCTTCCACACGGTGTAAAACACCCACAATTCCAAGTATGAAGGGGCACAGACGATCTCCTTTGAGAGCTCCACAGGACAATACAGGTGCCTGAGCTGTTCTTCATAGAGTGACAGGGCTTCAGTCAAATTGACACAGTTCCCCTGTGGAGAGGTCAAGAATCAGTCTGAGGAACTCCCATGTGGAATCTTCTTTCGGAGATATGGAGATTGGAACAGCTGTCAAATCATTAATCACATAATCAAACTCTCCCTCCTTTGGCGTACCTCTTCAGTACTGGAATACAGTCCTCTACTAGAACCTGATAGCAGTCTCCTTTAAGATTGTTTAAGACGTCACCACACGTTTTCCGCATGTATTTCTTGCATCCATCAATCACCATTTGGTCTATCTGTACCATGGTGACCATCTTTGGTTTCAGTTTGACTATTTCTCATAAAATGCCCCCATCTCTGCCTCCCAGAATCAGCACGTCTTTGCCAGTGTAGTCTTCTTCGCCACTGCCCATGATAGCCAGGGTATATGCCAGATCACTCCGCAAGGTTGACATCCCCACTAAGGATGAGAATATTTCCAAACTGCTTCGAGTGCAGAATTTTAATGTTCCGATAAGGTGAATCTTCATCATACACCACTTCATGTATGTCGTATTCAACCATGTGGCCATCAGCAGTGGGCCAGTACCTATCAATGGACCCTCCTCAAACTGTGGGCGGTAACCGCTTCACCCGCCCAGTACTGTCCTGACTCAGTTCTTTCATTCTTTTCTTCTACTTTGTTCAAAAGACTTTCAGCTTCTTTGCCTTCTGCATCACCGTCGTAACTCTGAAGGTCCAGCAACACCAGTCCATGTGGGTAAATTCTTAAATTGGCAAAGCTGCCATTTTTGTTTATGTAGGTCGCTAAATGGCCATGGTCCTGCCAGGTATGCACCGAGTCGGTCATTCCCTGCTCCTGGAAAATGGACTGGAGCCCTTTAAGAATGGTCTCGCCGTCAGCTTTGGCCCTGAGCATGAGGTCGAGCGTGCTGTGCAGTGCTGCTGCCATAGTGAGGCGAGGCCCTGCGCCATGCCTGGGGGAGGCGGCCGTGGGAAAATGGGGGACCTCATGGGCGGGGCAGGGAGGGGTGGTCAGCCTGTGGCCAGCAGGGACTGTGCGGCGCCGGGGAGGCCGAGGGTAAGGGTGGGAGGGGCCACCGGGAGCCACCCAGGGCGTAGGGGCCTGACTTTTTTAAAAAAAAATCTGTTAAAGTTTTGGTAAATGTGTAGGGGAAATCGGAGACTCTTTTAGATGTACTACCGCAATTTCCAGAAGTTCCTCATTTTCAGCAGTTATTCTAAACCAATAATTTCTGCCTCACTTCCTCCCTCTTTAGCTTGCAAAACTGATGTCGGAATTAGAAAGTTTGCCGGGCTCGTTCCCTGGACGGCATTCCTTCCCAGGCCCCAGTTCCGTAAGTGCAAATCCTCGCTCGTTCAGCAGTAATATTTTGGGCAGGTGTAAAGAAGATTTGTTACAATGTTTGAGAAAATCCAGTCTCCTGATTTCGTGTGGTCTTACAGACACAGAGGAAGTAGAAGAAACCTTCGGGTAGCCTCTGGGAGCGTCTCCTTGTGTCCTGGGGAAGGTGTGGCCTCCCTGAGCCGTGTTCGTGCAGTCTCACCCCCTTTTTGTTCCGTTATTTCTCTTTCTCACTAGACCGAACCTCTTAAGGGCAAGGAATAAAGATAGGAAAACATTTTTTCTGTATTCCCAGCATTAGCACATTGCTTTGTCTTGGTAGATGCGTAGTAACAGATGTTTTTAAAATTTGAGAAGGAAAAAAGATTTTTTTAGCCAAGTCATAGCCTAATGCATGTGTGTGATTATATCCTGAGGAACTAAGCTGATGCAACTCAGGGAGTTTGATGTGTCTGCTGTGGTACAAAAGCCAAGCCCTTCTTTCCCCATCCCTCCTTGAGGAGAGAAAGGGAAGAAGTGAGCAGGAGCGGAAGAAGGACAGCCGCACAAACATTTCTCTCTTGTGCAATGTAGAAACAGTGAGTATGTGCCAGGGCTCGAGGTGTCATAGAAAAAGGTTGTTGTGGAAAATGAGATTTGTTCTTATATCTTTATTATGTAGATGAATGAGTAAAGTATTTCTCAGCTTGAGAGAAACTGGGCTTGGTGTCACAAAAGCAAAAGCTCAAGGGCCATATTGTTTTGGGGGGCTCGTTTTCTATGCGCTGTAGAAAGCACAGAGAGGATTAGAAACTGGAGCTCTGCTTTTACTTAAAAACGTACATAAGGAGAAGGTGCCACTTTTCTTCATTCTGGCATAAATGGGTTCTGTAATGTGTGTTTTGTTTAGCGGTCGAAGACACCCCGAAGGCGTACCTTCCCAGGTGTTACTCTTAGGAGAAACCCTGACCGGAGAGGGCGTCCTCTTACCAGGTCAAGGTCCCGGATCCTTGGGTCCGTTAGCACCCTACCCACGGAGGAGGAGGAGGAGGAGGAGGAAGAGGAGGACAAGTACATGTTGGTGAGAAAGAGGAAAACCATGGACGGCTACATGAACGTGAGTTCTGGAACACATTCATGCTGGCTCCTCTGTTTTTCGTCTTCTGGGGGCTAAGTGTCACATACACAACACAAGTATGCACCAGCCTCAACTCCAAATGATTCGCATTAAACATTCTTCTCAACCCATTCAGAATTGTTAATGTCACACCAACTTATTTGATGATTTAAAAAATTTTTTTATCCTTATCCAGAGTCATCTTTTCACTGCTTTTTTAGAGAGAGGAAGGGAGAGAGAGAAACATCAGTGTGAGAGAGAAAACACCGATTGGTTGCCTCCCACACGTGCCTGGACTGGGGATCGAACCCACAACCGCTCGGCCACTGAGCGATACTCCAACTGACCTGCACTGGCCAGCGCTTGATGGGTTTTTTCTTTTCCATGCCATCAATAACAATGTAGCCTTTTCAAGAAACCTCAAATGATTGAGTAAAAACCAAAACATTTTATAAACTGAAGATAATTAGACCTTTCCATACCCAGCTCTCCTTGCTCCATTGACACAGCATTCTCCTGAGTTTTAAATAATTTTACCTTTAATTCTCCCTGGAATTTAACATCCAATGTTGGTGAAAAGTAATAGACTTGGTGCTCCCTAGTATGAATTTTCTTGTGTTGTTCATTGAGAGAATAATTAAACTTATCATTTTATTTTGCCTTTGTAATGTTTCTGTCCAGTAGGAATTCTTTGGTATATATATCCAAGTCATTGCTAAAGGTCCTGACACATTTGTATGGTTTCCATCTTATATGAATTCTGTTGTGACCACAGTTGTACATTTTTGATAAAGCTGGTCACACTTAATACCTTTGTAAGGTTTCTCCCTAGTAAGAATTCTGTTATGTTCCATGAGGCATAAACTTTGGATTAGCCTCACCATTTGTGTATATTCTCCCTCAAAGATGTATATTCTGATACCAAGTGAGGTATGAGCCCTCGTACAGGCTTTGCCACATGCGTGAGTTGTATTGTGTTGGCCAAAAAGTTTGTTTTCTTCTGTACAATACTCTAGTAGTGCTTAGTTGTCTTTAACTTCATTCAAAACACTTTGTTAGTTTGTATGGTGACAGCTGTCCTATCAGCATGCATTAAAAAAAAACACTTACCAAAATTGGTGAATTTTTGTGTAGCCATTTTAATAGTGAAGATGAAAGAAAATAAGCAACATTTTCGGCATATTATGCTTTATTATTTCAAGAAAGGTGAAACAACTGAAACGCAAAAAAGATTTGTGCTGTGTGTGGAGAAGGTGCTGTGACTGATCAAACATATCAAAGGTGGTTTGTGAAGTTTCATGCTGGAGATTTCTTGCTGGACAATGCTCCACAGTCAGGCAGACCAGCTGAAGTTGATAGCAATCAAATTGAGACATTAATTGAGAATAATCAACATTATACCACATGGGAGATAGCCAACATACTCAAAAAATCCAAATCAGTAGTTATTGGTGAAAATGAAAAACATGTCTTTTATTTTATGAAAAAAGCCATATGAAATTTTTTGCCAACCTAGTATATGGTCTCTCTCCACGATAGTCTTTGATGTTGAGTAAGGCTTGAGCACTTGCATTATAAGTTTTATCTCCATCATATGTGTAAGGTTGCTTTCTGTTTGAATTCTTTGATGAGCCCCAAAGCTTGAGCTTTGAATAAAAGCATTGTCATATAAATTAGGTTGATGATGTTTCTATTCAGTACTCTGATGCTCAGTAAGCCTTGCAAATCGGGTATAAGCTTTGACACACACACTACATTTGGAAGGTTTTGCTCCACTATAGAATTTCTCATGTTGAGTAGATTGGAACTCTGTCTAAAGATTTTACCACACTCACTACATTTTTAAGTTTTCTCCTATACATGATTTTCTTGTGCCTCCAAGTTGTGAATGTCTGGAATATTTGATGGATTTTGTTAGCAGGTGAGGAAGTTGAAATTTTCTTTTTCATTGGTTTGTCATAGTTGGAGGAATCATTTCCATGTTAGTGTCTTGTAAACTTTGGACTTGCCTCCTCTCCATAAGAAAGATTTCCAGATTGAATTCCCTGAAGGAACCATAAACCAGGTGTCTGAGATTCAGAGCTGGGAAGGGCCAGTGAGAGCGCTGTTCCGTGCTTGCGGTTTTGCAGGAAGACGATGTGCGTAGAGGTCGCCGCCCCGGATCCATGACCCTGCCGCACGTAATTCGCCCGGTGGAAGAAATTACCGAGGAGGAGCTGGACAACATCTGCAACAATTCTCGGGAGAAGATATACAGCCGCTCATTGGTAAAAGCCTCTGCCTTATGTCTGATGATGCGAAGGTCTGTGGGAGAGGAGCAGTGGCTTCTGTCCTTAGAGGCTGGCCGACGATCTAAACCAGTCTTCTGCAGTGTTAAATCTTTTCTCTTAATTTAGAAATTGATTCATCCAGCATGCATTTACTGTGTGTCAGTGTTGTGTGTCTGCCTCGATGGGTGCTGGGGACATGGTGTGCTGAAGACAAAGGACTTGGGGCCGGGGTTTCTGCCTGATAAGGTCTTTACTTGAAGAAAGGTAGTTTTGATAATACTGAGTCTGCCAATCTGGTGAAACCACCATGCTTGAGATACTTTGTATGCCTTGGCATGTACATGTGTACATAAGTTATGAAATAAGATTAAATGTGTCAGATTGTATCCATAAGGGACAGTCTTTAAATATGCCATTTTTCTTTACAGAAAGCCATGCTGTTTTTTATTTGTAGGGGTCTACTTGTCATCAGTGCCGCCAGAAAACCATTGATACCAAAACGAACTGCAGAAACCCAGAGTGCTGGGGTGTCCGAGGCCAGTTCTGTGGTCCCTGCCTTCGAAACCGTTACGGAGAAGAGGTCAAGGATGCTCTGCTGGACCCAGTAGGTGCCTTCCAGGGGTGGTTCTATGGGCTTGAAGGTCAGGCACCAGCTGATGGGGCCAGAAAGATGCCATCGGCGAAAGGGTTGAGCCCTTAGTGTCGTGGCGCTTTCATTCCCTGAAAAGCAGGGGAATTCATAATGTTGGTTGGGAGGTGTGAGCCCCTTCCACAGTGCTTGGTACCTTACTGTTCAGGGGAATCGGATTCATCGTTCAGTCTGGTAATTGCTGTGAGACTTTCTGTGCTGGATTTCCTAAGGGAATGTTAGGCATAACTAATGGACATTAACCATGTTAAGATTTTTTTTAATTAAAAAAAATCAAGATTTAAAAGCAATGGATGATACCCATCTTAGAGTTTAAGCAGGAGCAGGAGAGGGAGGGAGTAGGTTGGATTTAATTGTGCCTTTCACATTGCCCCTTAGAACTGGCACTGCCCTCCTTGTCGAAGAATCTGCAACTGCAGTTTCTGCCGTCAGCGAGATGGGCGGTGTGCGACTGGGGTCCTCGTGTACTTGGCCAAGTACCATGGCTTTGGGAATGTGCATGCTTACCTGAAAAGGTAATGGTGGGTTTTTCTCTTTTCCACACTCAGTCTCATGTTCATTTATGTGTTTTATTAAAAGGATGGTGTAAGTCAGAGTAGTGGTTATCTCTGGGTGGAGGTGCAGGTTTTGACCGGAAAAGGGGTACGTGGAGAGTCTTCTGGAATGTTGGAAACATTTTACATCTTCATCTGGGTGATGGTGACCTGCATGTGTGTATGTGTATAAAAATTCAAGTTGCACACTTAATGTGTTATTTTAAAACATGTTATAACTCAATAAAAACTTCCTTTTTGAGAGAGAGAGAGAGAGAGAGAGAGAGAGAGAGAGAGAAGCATCAGTTTGTTCCCCTTATTTATGCACTCAACTGGTTTATTCTTGTACATGCCCCGACCAGGGATCAAACCTGCAACCTCAGTGTATTAGGACGACGCTCTAACCAACTGAGCACCTGACCAGGGCAATAAAAACATTTTTTAAAGAGTGCATTAGGCTTTCAAAAGAGGCTTCTTAGTTTGAAAATGATATCCTGATGCATTCCTTTTTCTTTTTTCAGTTTGAAGCACGAGTTTGAGATGCAAGCATGATACCTAGAAGATCTACTGCCTGCCTTCCACCACACCAGTCTTCCTTGTTCGAGTTTTCCATTTTGTCCTGTGGTGGAAACCTGAGTTAAGAATTCTGATGATCAGTCTGCTTTATAGGAAACTCAAATCCAGCTAATCTCATTAGATGAGTTTCCAAGCAACCCAGAAGTCTATTGCTAGCTACACTTTGCCCTCTTGCTGTTTCTCCTTTGCTTCTCCCTGCCCCTCATCCCAAACTCTCTCCCTCTTTTTACAGGGGGGTCTCTCTCTCCATCTAGTTTCTGAATTCTTTTTAAATGACAGTCTTGTGAAATCATGTTTGATTTAATTGGTGTTGAAACAGCCCTGGAATTCACCTATAAAACCAAGCACTTAGAGACACAGTAGTGGTGTTACTAAAGACATCTACTGAGACCAGCCCTCTAACTGGTCTCTACAAAAACAGCAGGCACAGTTGTCACACTAGTTGACATTTTTAACAGAATCGAGGTGGAAAGGTCTTAAGGCATGTGGAAAGATGAGGTAATTGTTGGAAAGGGGGGCATGTGGATTTGGACACCTGTCGTGAGAATATTCCATGTCTTGTGTTTATTGCACAAGTTGTCGTTGCAGAGATTTAGTTGCTGATTTTTCCCACCATGCAGTTGGGTGGTGCATTGGGCTCCCACCGTGATGACCCACAGGATTGTGGGCAGCACAGGATTGGCTGTCGTCAGAGAAGAGACAGTCGAGGGAGTCAGGATGGCGAGGCTTCAGATGTAGGCGGGTCTGAATTCACGGTATAAAACTTTGGTGTAATGGTAGTTTGCCAAGTTTATTTCCGTTCATAAATGTAAGGTATTTAAAATAAATTCTTGATCATTTTGCATGGAAAATTGATACCAATATTAACCTACAATTTGCAGTTTTTGCTTTCTTGAAGAAATAAGCTAGGCAGGCATTCGTGTTCAGGTTTTAAGCACTTTTAGAACAATGAGAAGTGCCTTTTTGGAGATGGGTGACTTTCCGGTTTGTTAACTTGACATCTCTGCCCCCTTAAGTTTCTGGGCAGATTGTGTGTATCGTCTCCCCCTCCCCCACCCTTTGCATTAATCACGAAATGGCTAACGGTAGAGGTGGAGTCTTAGGTGTTTGTCCATTTTCCCTTGCATGTGCATCCCGTTGCTGATTCTGTTCAGTGTTAGATGCAGGATTGGACCTTGGATCAATAAATGTAAATAGAGCTTTTGATCTGTAATGCTTTTATACAAAGTTTTTATTTTGATAATAAAACCTTTTGTTCTAGATTGTCTGCCTTTTAAATCTTTAACACTCAATCTTACTGTACTCAATTCTGATTTTTCTCATAGCTAAATAGCAGACCATTTCTGCCTTTTTCTAGGGTCTCCCTTTTGTGTTAAGTTTCTGAAGATCAGAAGGTCAAAGACCAGCTCTTTTGAACAGGGCTGAGCTCAGCTACATGACTAGTGGCAATGATCAGAAAATCAACCAAGACAGCCAGGTCACCGGATGGGAAATACTATGTCCCCATGAAGTGTTGCAGTGTTTCCTTTAGCATTTGCCAACCAAAGAACTAATGGCAATTTCACCATACCTAGCTTGCTTTTATCAACCATTCAAATATTTATTAAAGGCACACTGTTTTGAACCTTATTCCAGGACTAAGAAGACCAAGGCATGGTCTGAAAGCTCCTAACCCAGTACTTTAGAACAGGGCTGGCAAACTGCAGCCTGCTGCATGAACTAAGGATGTTTTTATTTTATATTTTCGGAAGGTTGTAAAAAAAATGTGACAGGCAGCATGGCCTGCTCTAGAGTTACAGGAGAAACCTTGTTTACCCAGTACACAGTCATTTAAAGTTTCATATTCTGTATAAATCTAAAAGAATTGGATATCTTCATAAACTGGAATCTTAACCAAAATTTTTAGGTATATAATTGGGAAGCTTAAGTCTGTAGGATTATTCAAAATTGGTGGTGGTTTGGAACATTGTGGAGGTACTGTATTTTGCTACTGAAACTAATAGTGGTTTTCATTAGAAATACTGATTAGTAACAGTTGACTCCCAGGGCCTTTACTCTTACAGGGTTTACAATCTAGTGGTGGAACTAAGACATAAACCTATAAACAACCTGAGTAGACATGAAGAGAGGGAAAGTAATTGGGATTTTGTCATTACCAAGCATTTTCCAGCATTGATGGGCCCAAGGATTCTGTAATGACTCCCAGCTGAGGAGGAAACTGCAGCTCGCTTGCTCAGTCCCAGCCTTGGCCGTGGGAGCCCCTTGCTTTACTCCACACACCCCACTGCAGAGCTCCACACACCAACCTCGGAGTTGAGAGAGCTCAAAAGTTCTGACAATTAGATGTGAGAAGTTAGCATCATGGCGGTCATGCTCCAAAACAACTAATAATTGCCTTTGTACTTGTCTCCACCCGGATTCTCTGAGGTTGATACGGTGTCTACTTTTATCACCATTACTATGGGTTTGAGAAATAAAATAGAAACTATAATTTTGGTAATTTCATAATGAAGAGGGCCAAAGGCAGTAGAGGCTGCTGTAGGAAGGGTTTGTGTTTGTTTTTAAATTTTTTAATCTTTATTCTGTTTGTTTCCCATTACCATTTAGTTCCCCCACCAGTCACCACACTTGGCCCTGTCCACTGTGTTTTATTTTTGGAACGAAGAAGAGGGAGCTCCTGATGGCTCCAGGTGAGGTAGATAGCTGGTTACTTGCAGACCAGAGGAATGCAGGAGTTGAGTACCTTGCAGCCGGGCTGGAGAGTTACATGTTGAGAGGAAAGTCACAGTAGTTGTTCTATTAATGTTAACCACACATTTCTGGGATAATGTCTGAAAGATGGAATAAGTCCAGAGAAGGTAACAACTGTCAGATGTTATATAGAGTGGCAGAGATAAACTAATATGTTATGGTTTTGTTAGTTGTTTTTTTTTTTTTAATTCAGGGAGGTGACAATTCCAGGACCCAGTTCTATTTTTTTGTTAAGATTTTATTTATTTATTTTTTAGAGAGGGAAGAGAGGGGGGGGGGAGAGAGAGAGAGAGAGAGAGAGACATCAATGTGCAGTTGCTGGGGGCCGTGGCCTGCAACCCAGGCATGTTCCCTGACTGGGAATTGAACCTGCGACACTTTGGTTCGCAGACCGTGCTCAATCCACTGAGCTACGCCAGCCGCGGCAGGTTTTTTTTTTTAAACTAACCAGAACTTGCCTGCCATACGAGTCAGGAACACGGGGCGGGGCTTGGGTGTGGAGCAAGCCTGGCTGGAGAGCTGTAGAAATGCTGTTGAGTGGGAAGACAGGCAAGGCTGGGAGGGGGCCGAGGGCTGAGTGGTCAGGAGGGACTGAGGCTTGGCTAGTAGGAAACCGGTATTGGATAATCAGCACAGACGTTGGAAACCCCTTAGGCTTTTTAACTGGGGCAGGGAAGTCCTGTGGGTAGGAGAATACTCCTTAGATTAGCTACAAAGTTGAGGAAGGAGTGGGGAGGCTAAGAGGAGGGCAAGATCTTCAAAGGTGGTGTTGCTATGAGTGAATGGAGGAGGGTCTAAAGTTTGGAGTGGCAGTGGGCCGCTGGAGATCTTTGCTTGGGGATGTGTAAGGAATGGGTTGGTCGCAGAGAAATTGACATGTCCCAGGTAGAGGACTTGATCCATGCAGATGATGCAAGACTTGTTTGGAGGAAAAAGCGAAAAACAAAGGAAACACCATTTAAGGTTAAAGTCCCTAACATTTGGGTTTTATCAATCTCCCCTGCATTTTATTTTACATGGTAGCATTTATATTATATGTACAATGTACAAATTTTTTAAAAAAAGATTTTGTTTATTTTTTATAGCGAGGGGAAGGGAAGGAGAAAGAGAGGGAGAGGAACTTTATTGTGTAGTTGCCCCTCACATGCCCCCAGCTGAGGTCCTGGCCCACAACCCAGGCATATACCCCTGACTGGGAATCAAACCAGTGACCCTTTTGGTTCGAAGGCCTGCACTCAGTCCACTGAGCTACACCAGCCAGGGCACAATGTTCAACTTCTGTAGCATGAAGAATGTCAAAACACTTTAAATGGCTATATGGTATTTGTTTATGTGGACGGTTCATAATTTACTTAAATAATTTCCAATCTTGGGGTATCTGGATTGTTAACAGTCTCTTGCTTTTATGAGTAATGCTGTAATTAGTATTGTGCCTAAATCTTGGGTTAAAATAGATTTCTAGAAAGTGCAGTAAGTCTTAATTACAGGGATGGAGGAAGGTAAGGCTGGGATTTTCCAGCATGTGAGCCTGGTCTCTAGACCTAAGCTGCCCAGAGTTCTAGGTGAACTTGGCTGCAGCCCAAGGTTGGAGGGAGAGGAGGGGGGCTACTTAACTAGAAGGCAAAATGGGAGGCATGTCTCACTGTAGGTGGGCTCATCCTGTAAGATTACAAATGGCATAGCTGGCCAAATAAACATTATTTTATGTAATCCTGTGACTTGAATTTTTTGGAAGTTCATTGTCAGATGAAAGTACCTGCTGATAATGCATGACTGCAGCAGTGCTCAATCCAACATTATAAATATTTGACAAAGAAGGGAAGCGAGTTAGTTGGGCACCTCCTATGGCACAGTGTATGTTAGTCCTTCATAGTAGGGATTTTAGAGATGAGGTGACTCAAAGAAGTTAAGTAATTTCTGAAGACTCAAGAGCTTATCTCGTAGCCTGAGAAGAGACATGTAAGAGCCAAACACTCTTCTGAGGATTTCTTTTTTTAATTTATTAATTTTGAGAGACACAGAGAGAAAAACTTCAATGTATTGTTCACTTATTTATGCATTCATTGGTTGATTCTTGTATGTGCCCTGACTGAAGATTGAACCTGCAACCTTGAGGTATTGGGATGATGCTCTAACCAACTGAGCTACCCAGCCAGGACCTTCTAAGGTATTCTGATAGATCTGGTTACATACCTTGATCATGACACATATATCTGCCACTTATAGTTTATTTTAGCTTTTTCCCCTCATTAGACCATGAAGTCCTTGAAAGCAAGACTATCTTTGGTCTAAAGACTCTTATCATATAGTGGATACTCAACAAATGTTTATTAAATATTTAGCAAAAATAAGTTGATTGTCCTGGGTAGGGAAGTTCCTAGGATTTGGGTAGAGATATAACATGGTGAAGGAGAAATAATGGTAGATCCCAACACTGAAGATACTGATTCATGAGGTGTAAGCCTGTCTTTGTGATCTAATGCCTAGCCTGCTATGAACCTGCCATGGTCAATTCCTTAAAAATGTATTTCTAATATAGTTTTCAACGGGAAAATACAATTTAGTTCGTCATATTAACTATAAAGGAATACCTCTATTCTCATTTATATTACTGAGCTAGAAATGAGCTACACAGAGATCATTTTACATGTAGTAGCTCCAAGAGTTATCCATTTGTTGGGGGAAAATTTTGGTGACAAAAATTTAGTGTATAGAAGTTCTTTTTTTAAACTTTTATTACAAACTGTTTAATTACTTCTTACCCTAATAACTTTACAAATATAGAACTACATGGCATTCTGACGGTGCTCTTTAGTGAGTCGCCACAAACTAGCACAGCTTAATGCCACTGTCATCCACCCAGGAGCAGTCTCAGAGGTGGCCTCCGCCATGTGGGTGAGAGGGTCTTGGGGGAGGGCTGCTCAGTGTAGCCAGGGGACCCGGCTTCAACAGCACAATGCTCATTCTCTCCATTGTGTCTCCATGTGCTTTTGCATTTTCTCAACCATCCAACTGGGTAGGAAGGAGGATTTCAGCTCCTCTAACTTAAGGTCCAAGCATCCTCTGAAGTCATTGCTGGCAGCAAGGTCCCAGGTGTCCTCCTCAATGAGGAGGTAGCCCATCTTCCCTCGTTGCCTACATGTGATGCTGCCTGACCACCCAGTCTTGTCCTGGGGGTCAGCTGCATACTCGAAGAGGTATGGGTGCTTGATGTAGATTCTTCATCCCCAGGGCTTTGTTGGCTGGAGATTCCAATGCAAAGGTGGTAGATTCACTCAGCTGAGCCAGGTCCCACTTGGGGCCTTCTTGGTTGATTGGTTTCCAGGATTTTGATTTCCACACTATGCCGGTGGCTGCCCTGCCATCTGACGAAATATGTCTAGGAGGCTGTCCCTTTCTCATTTTGGGAATTGGGTTTCTTGGGTGGGTGTGTTCCTCTTCTGCCTGCTGACCATGCTTTATCCTGGGAAGCTCATGGGTCAATCTGGGTGTAACTTTTTCTCCATCTG